TTACCCTGGGATGTCCTTGTGGTAACTTAAGGCTATCCTTTGGTTCTTAAGCGAGTATCCTTTCGATTTGTGTATTGAAGTATATACGATAAACAGTTACTGTGTCATTTACAAATGCAAATATAAACCATATTTACATGTACATTTATTAATGTTGAATTGGGTGTCCTAGGGTACACTGGGATTTTCTTGTGGTACCTTAAGAGTATTATTTGGTTTTATGTGAGTGCCCTTTGGTTTTGTGTATTGAAATACACAAATCATAATTAAAACATGATTATTTATTTACACCGTATAAAATATTAAAGTTCTTCAAAACTAAACATGCATAATTGAGCTTAATTGTTAAATTAATTAATATTACCTATAAATTTTTAACTTGGGTAACTGCTCTATATTTAAGACAATTAATTTAAAAGTGTTAATATGTCTTTCAAAAATATTTTTTTTCTAATTTACAAGTGCATATAAACCATATTTAGAATAATTAAGGTTGTATATGGTGTCCCTGGGGTACCTTGTGGTATCCCTGGGGTTCCTTGTGGTTCCTTGTGGTATCCTTGTGGTTCCTTGTGGTACCTTGTGGTTCCTTGTGGTAAAAAGACATACCCTAAATATTGTGTATGATCATACATCAGAATGCTGTTCAAGTTCCATAAATATTTATACATCATCTGTCTACAGCAACCTTGAGCTCCTTGTGCAAACGCGGAATAGTTTATCATAAATTTACAGTTTATAAGTCCCAATGAAATATTCATACCACACATAATACATGTCTAGCCGGACAACAGAAGGGCACTGGTTCACCGGCATCAGTTTTTATTGGCATTCAGAGTGGCAATAATTGCAGTCTGTTGGGTCAATTTTCAACTTCAATACTTTACATAAACATACTGTGTTTATCAGGGATGTATACTGAAGTAAAATCAATCTGATCTTTCATTGTAAAACATTTTTTTTCTACATCTTTTGGCAGATTCTGACAATTTAGGCTTTTAACCAGTACATTTTTCTTCTTACAAACTGTGTTGTTTTAGTAGATTGGATATTTTTGTTGATAAATATTATTATACACTCTGGTAGCAAGCCCCCCCCCCCCCCCATGTAGAAATGAAAGTGTTTCACTAAAATTATATAAACCTGTCTATCTTCTTTGCTGCCAATAAAATATTACGCAAATTTTAAATAAAATGTATCATTCACATTCAGGAGACATTTAATATTTTGCCCCTCCAAAAATAACAAACATGTGATTCAATAGACTCTTAAAGTTGACAAAATATTTTCTCTACCATATTTCTTATCAATATGCAAAGTTTCTGAATTTATGGGACTCTATTGATTTTAAAAACAACTTTATAACAACTGCTACCTGATATTCTACAACAGTACAAATGTACTATGAGAGTCAGTACTCAAGAAATCAAGGTCCCTGGCACACATTAGTACTTGTGCTGTCATTGGTGAGAGAGGTGGAATCTGATCTTCATGAGGATCTTTGTGTCTGTCTGTGGATTTCCTCCACATTGCCAGATGCTCTGAAACATGTCTGAGACATACTAATGACAGTGCTACCCATAAATTCTGTCTCATCTCAAGTGATGACCCAGAACACAAGGTTAGGATTCACATCACACATCTGTCACCCTGACAAGCCAATGTACAATCATACTTCATCATCTTTGAGGTGTAGATTGGTATGCAAGTCAAAAGAGGAGGGTGTAACTGATATCTTCTTGTGTAATATGAAATATGTCATTATGTGAACTCTGCATGTGTTCATGCTCAAAATGCTGAGTTTAAATTTTAAGCCTATCTTACAAAAACAGATTATCCCGGTCAAAAATGTCCTTTCCAATTGCAATTTGCTGGTTTAATTTGCTGAAGTACTATTTTGTGTATCAATATATAAATTATAAAATAATGATCTAACCAGAAATTCATTGCCTGAAGAGCTATGAGTCATTATGCTATTGTTGCATTACTCTACCATACCAAAATTCAATTCTCTACCACAAACTGTCCTGTCAAGGATATTGATTCTACAAGTATGAAATTTCCAGAATAATACAGCAGGCTAGCACAGAGAGACCAAAATAAAATTACTGATATCCCACATCCTGAAATCTGCAAAAGGCTAATAACACCAAGGGAAAACACAGAAGCCAAAATAGCCTACAGAAGGAATGACCAAATAAAATCTGACTGTCCAATAAAATGAATCTATATATTAAATTCAGCTCAGATGCACATTAAGTTTGTATACTAATATTTGTGTGCAAATCATTTACACCAAGTATTAATCAGGGAGTTAAGATCTCATCTCCTCTATCTACACTGATATGAAATGACTTTGTTAACTCCTACTTTTAAGTTCTCTGTGCAATTTGAAAAAAAAAAAAAACTACATAAAATATTATTCTTTTTAAATATCACAGACCATTTTTCATATGAAAAAGATATTTCTGATAATTGCCACTAATTAAAACAAGGAAATCTAATTGCCATGGGTATTCAGAACTTGCTGCCAATGCATGCACTGCATCAGTGAGTTCACCCTGCAGCATCTCTGCCTTGTGAACAATGCCTTTTAACTAATAGGTCTTATCTTACTGTGTGACAGGCATTGAAATGTTGAAGGCTTCAAGACAGCACCTGCATTTGATTATATCTCCAATGACAAATGACTCAAATAGGAAATGTGCCTTTCGTTCTTGAGTAACAATTGCTGATCCTTTCAAAATAATTCTTATTGATAACATTACATTTATATGTACATGTGTATAATCTCCATGTGAAGAAGATATCCCTCTTCCCCTTTTGTAGTTCAAAATCTTGTAATGTTTGACCATTTGGAATATACGTAATCTATCTAACTATTGCTTATTATTTCTGAATATATATATGTGTATTGCAGCATGTACCAAAAAAAAATTACTTCATCTCTCTCTCCAGTTTCGGAAGTAAGTAAGCTTTAAATTAGCACTACAGCAAGTATGTGTATTCATAAGCTGTCAATCCTTAAGACCCACTTCAGAACCACTTACTACTACTTAAAAACAATTGTCATTTTTCAAACACTTAAGGAAAAAGTACTTGCAACAAAAGTAGAAGTCTTTTTACTTTTATACATGTGAAAGTGATATCCTCAGAACAAGAATTTCCATGTTGAACAGCTGCATCTACATTCCTATAAAGATTCTTAAGTATGTAAATTTTCAAAATACATACTTAACAAATTAGACAAAATTTATACTCAAATCATTATGGTGCATATGTTCAACTTTCCTTTAAATATGTGATAAAAACAAGATTCAACTTCATTATTCAATATCTGTACTTTAGACAAAAAGAGCCCAAATTGACTCAAAATCAGGAAATTTGAATATTAAAAAAACATATCGTGATCCATCTTGAAAGTGAGGAAGACAAATTACATCAAGATTCCTACAGACACTCAGCCCTAAGTGTCTTCATATTGATCCATAAAGCTGAATTCAGACATTTATCCTTGGTATTTGATAGCTATCATGGGTTCCATACATGTATGTTTCAGAAATTTTGATGATGCATAAAACTAATAGGAAAACTTTCATCTACTTAAAAAAGAGCTTTAATCATTTTCAAATGACAGAAAACTGTAATTAGTGAATGGGGAGGAAGATCTTCAATCTTTCCTGATCAGTATATATATATGTAACTGAATGAACGAAGATAATGATAATGGCATAATCTTGCCAATTCACATTAAAATTACAAGCACATACCAAAATCTATGACAAACAATGAATGAAATTTGCAATTCCTTATCAAAATTTTCACAAAACAGAGGTCTCTCATTATCAAAGACATGTAATATTGATTTTTTTTTTTCAATACTAACTCTAATTAGACAGAAAGTTCAGATCACAGAGAGACTGGTGGTCACAGTTGAGTGAACAAAATACTCTGACATTCATTGTTTCCAAATTTTGGTTTGTTCAATAAAGTGGACCACTTAGTCACAATAGATTTCTGGCTCTGAAACAGCACATTAATTAGAAGCAGATGGTGAGGGCTTTTCTCACCAATGTTCTTTATGGCAAATAAATGGATGAAACTACAAAATCATGACATTTATTTCAAGTGCATTATTGATAGATCTGACCCTTGTTGATAACACTTAAAAAATGGGGAAAAAAATGTAAAATTTCCTTTCTTTGAATTGCTAGGTTTGTGGTGTCTTATAGAACTTTACAACCTAACAAGTTTTATTCCATTTTAAACCCATCAGGATTTTATTTACCACTCAACTTTTCATCAACAAAATACTTCATGTAAATAGAGCCAAAAATACCAACGCCTTTTACATCACTGACACAATATTATTCTGATCAAAACAATCCTGATCAGAGATAACAAAATATTTTCTTTTACTGAAAATTCAGTTTCAATCTGCACTAAGGGCTAAGGCTGCTTGCAAAACAAACAAAAAAAAGTGATGAAAATGGATTATTTCTTATTCACCTATATGTTATTTACTTTCTTATGCTGTCAACTTTATTTTTAGATAACCCTTTCAATTTTAATAGGGGTCATAAATTTTGCATACATGTACGATGGGTGTAGTACATGGTGCTGGCTTTTCATCAGACTGTATATGCGGGTATTATTTGATCATTGGCAATAATGCCAAACTGTCACTCAATAAGTATGATAAACAAAGCTAAAAGACCGAAACTACTTTAAAATGTGTCATACACATTTGTCGCATTTTGTGATCGATGATTCATGAAAAGTTATTTTTTTCTCACATTCACACCTCTGATGAATAGTCAGAAAATTCTGTAATGCTGTAATTAAACATGCTTTTGTTTAGAATAAGATACCTATCAATGAAGGGACGGATGGGAGGGAAATTCAAACAATTGACAACGATAAACCGCCATCACATTATAATATGATTAACTTAGTATATTGATCATTTTATGACAAATAACTTTGTTTCGGACACATACCTGTTCCACCTATTAGCACTAATCCCATCAGTACCAGCCATAATTCTCCGTAATTCATTACAGCACTCTGAATAACCATATTATGATAAACGATATTTACAAATAGACTCCCAAAGATCGTACTTCTGCTAGTAAAGCGTTCTCAAGATTATGACCATGCCGCAATAGGCATGACAAGTGCGCGCTTCTTCCGCGCACAAAAAATAGTGCGAGTTCACAAAACCGTTCCCTCAGAAGTAAAGTGCGATTAAAAGAGGAGGATTCAGTGCGTACCCCTTCAATCAAACAAACAACAAGCGTACATTTTTATAGTACTAACATATTAACATGATTTAATATTGATAGAACGAGATTATTTTAATATGACAAAAAAGTTTTACATAGAAAAAAAAAAACATGTCACTTTATTAGAAAATTAAATCTTTTTCTTAAAAAAAAATGGTTTTCGTGAAATAGGAAACGAATTCTCTCCGATATCAAAGTAAGCGTGTGTTTCATATACTTTTATTAGTTACCTTTTTTATACACATACTTACGAAAGCCTATTATGATCAATCTATGGAGAAAAAAAAAATAAAATGCGTTAAGGTATGTCACTCGTGAAATTTGTTATATCAAGGATTTTTTGAGAAGTATATTTTGGATAAGTACTCATATAGTATGACTCAAAATCGCAGAGAAAACAGGGGGTCAGTGTGCATCTTACTGATCTACGGTACAATTAAGTTGACCTTTTTGCACTTAAATTTTAACTCTTTGGTTAATCACTTTAACCTTTATCATATTTTATCAGATGTAACCATGGCGATAAATATAATCTTATTTTATGTAAAATAGTTTGAATAATATTTATCATTGAACAAATCTTGCAAATTAATGCGCGTAAATTATTGTGTGACCTTTTTGCACTAAAAAAGTAACATATTTGGGGTATTAAAAATCTAAATAGACAATAAAATATTTTTTGTATCAAACTTTTTACGACTTCAGTGCTGATCAGTCACAAGTATCGAGAAGTTTAAAATAATGAAAGAAAAAGTTGGGGTCAGTGATGTAAATTTTGAAATATTTGTAAAATATGCGATTTTCAGGCAAAAAAACGATGTAAATTTTATCTTGACTTCTTTAATATATCTTCATTTCTCAGCAAAGTTTGTTGAGGGAAGGTGTAAAATTTGTTATAAAAATATAAATTGAGACATATATTTAATATTCCTAGCATATCATAACGAAAAATATTCTCTGAGTAAAAGTACGTGAGTCTAAAGTTCCAAGATATTAAATTTAATAAATGTGCAGATTTGCAGAATTTTCTGCTAAATATCCTTCCACCACAAGAAATAGTCCCTCATAAATCTTGCTTCTTTATGAATTTTTGAGCAGTTTTTTCATTGAATGTTGAACAATTTACATTGTTTCATTCAAGTATGTTACGAAAAATTAATTTTGATAAATAGTTTTGAAGTAAGAGGTTCTGCCTGAACTTTTCCAAAAATCTGACGAGTGACATACCTTAAATTACGCTTTTCTAAAAGGCGTTATTACGCCTTTCTTATACATGTAGGCGTTATTACGACTTTTCAAAAGGCGTTCTTACGCCCTTACGCCTTTCCCAAAGCGTTATTATGCCTTTGAAAGAGCCATTACAGGCCCATAGGAAGCAATTTCAGTTGGGGGGGGGGGGGGACAGCCATACATTTTTCAGTTGACAGTTGAGGGGGCACTATCAAAAATTTCCTGACAAGCAAAAAAAAAAAAAGGTCATCAACTATCAAAAGTTCCTTGACAAGCAAAAAAAAAAAAAAGGTCATCAGACGTTTTTATTGAGGGGGCACAAGCATATAGTATCTATGTTTACTATAGTAATCTATACATGTATATCGGCAAAATTATTGGGGGGGGGGGGCACGGCCCCCCGTGCCCCCCCCCGGTTCCTAATGCCATGCATTATTATGCCTTTGACAGGCCCGTGCCTTTAAAGGGGGGGGGGGTCCAAAAAATTGACAAGCAAACAAAAATCACCCCCCCCCCCCGATAAGAACTGAACTGCCTATGTAAGGTTGAATATTGGCCCGAGTTGAAAATTGACCCGGGGTTCATTTTTCAACGTTGAATATTGAACCGGGGGTGTTTTATCTCCGTTGAAAATTGAGACCCAACGTCGTTGAATTTATACCCGGGGTCATTTCTCTTATGACCTCAACACGTTAAACTTGAGGGGGATCTTTTTCTAACTTTTCGGTAAAATTTTTTTTAAATGGAATAATTTGCCAGAGTTTAACCATACTACAACAAAATGTTCAGGGACCAAACAGTCAATAAATGAATTTTTATATTTAAACTATAGGAAGACTATTCTTCCAAAAAAGTGTGGTGGGAGAGACCCCCCCCCCCTTCACCGCCATCGCACTCGTACTACCGGCCTGTTTGAAAAGGCGTTATATCCAAAAAATGGAAAGGCATTATTTTATATTAATAGATATATGAAAGATTGAATCAAAACCATCTTTATTTATGCAATATTTTCTATATTCCTGCACATCCCATAGACCACTGTTTGCATGTGTATTAAGAGAAGTCAACGCTCTACTTGTGAAAATCCAGGATATAGGCAGATGCAGCTTGGGCCTTTGCTGGCCATGTATTAAAAATTCATGTCAATTGTCAAATTTGAAAATATTTTTCTCTCCTCTTGGAAAAGCAGGCAAACTATTTGCATGGATACATGTATAACGAGCAATTAGCCTTCAACCAAATTTGTGAAATCCATGAGAGGTGTCTGGCATCAGAGAAGGGCTAAGATGGTTTAACATTGAAAATATATTACACACTTAAAAATCTTTTTCCTGGAAATCTAATTACAATATGTTTAAATTATTTTTTGAGAAATTAGCCCTGTATTAATTGTGAAATTCATGCCTCGAGTGTAAGATTTCAGCCACCGATATGGGCTAAGTTAGTCATGTATTGAGAATAAAAGGCGTAATAACGCCTTTTGGAAAAGCGTAAGAACGCCTATTGGAACGACATAATAACGCCTTTTGAAAAGGCGTAATAACACCTTTTAGAAAGGCGTAATAACGCCTTTAAGAGATGCGTAATAATAATTCTATTTATTTATTTATTTTTGGCTTGTCGGATTATTTTTTTTTTTATTTTTGTTTTGTTTTGGAAGTTGCCCCCCCCCCCCCTCCCTTTTGAAACCGTTACTACGGGCCTTTATCTCAATTTCTAATTTTCACTATAGAAAGTCAGGGGTTTTTTTACAAGCGGAAATAAACAAGATATCTTTTAATAATTACAATAAACTCAAATAATTGAAGATATCTTTAACATTTATTCCATATATGTACATCTAATAAATGAGTTGATACGCGCATTAATTAAACAGATGGTGGAAGTCAATTGGTTTGATGAGCGCATTAATTTAACCATTTCTCTAGAAAATTCAATGTGGTGGAATTATTGATAGCAAAAATTTATTTAGACCAAGCTATTTATAAACTTGGGATATGTTGTTCTCTTTAATTTAGTTAAAGATATCTTCAAATGTTTTACAATGATTTTGCTAGGAACAAATGCACTCATCAATTCTTTTAAATGTAGATAGTGCAACAATTCAGTTCAGAGAGCATGATTTTAATTATTATGGATATTATATTGAATTGAAGATAAAAAATAATTGGTTGCACTCTCTCTAAAAAATATCATAATTTCAATAAAACAGAGCATTAAAAGTTCAGTTATTGTGTGCATTGATTTACTTGTAATTGCTCTCTTCATCCGAATTATTGCGCGCATAGATTATTCAATTGGTTATATCATTTATTTGAAGAGAGCATCAAATAAATTCAATAATATTGTGTTCAATCATTTAGCAATTTATTCAATTATTCAACAATTGAATTAATACGTAAGTAATTTAGAATTTAAGATATTAACAGTTGAATTGGTTATATCATTTATTTGAAGAGAGCATCAATAAATTCAATTGTCTTCATTCATTTAGCAATTTATTCAATTATTCAACAATTGAATTAATACGTAAGTAATTCAGAATTTAAGATATTAACAGTTGAAAAGATCTTAAATCAAATTGTTTGATTGATTGTATGTTGTTTAGCGTCCCTCTCGAGAATTTTTCACTCATATGGAGACGCCACCACTTGTCGGTGGAGAGCTGCAAATTTTGTCTTTTTCGTGCCAGCACCTACTGCGACACGGGACCTCGGTTTATACGGTCTCATCCGAAGGACCGTTCTCCACGTCCCACAGTGGGATTCGAACCCGCGACGTAAGAATCAACACCTTACTTCGCGACTCTAGAGCAGACGCTCTAACCACTGCGCCACGCGGGCGACTAAATCAAATTGCTTCGCTCATTTCGCTCATCAAATGAGTTTTCATTTGGCGCAATATACAAATTGCAAGTTCGGTTAACTACACCAAGACTGTCTGAGCGGGGGTGCGTTGGGTGGGATTGCACACCTCCTTAAAAAAATCTTAAAATTAAATTTTGAGACAAAATAAATTAATTGTTCATATGTTAAACATAATGCTTGATTTTGTTTATTTTAATATGTGAAAAAATACTTTAAGAATGCACAACCTTGCATGTCACAGGCATCGTACATTCACAACGGTAAATGAAAACAAGATGTGTTTGTCATGTGAAACACTGATGCCCCCATATGGCAGCTTGTGGCGAAGGTTAAAGTTACTCAAATGCAAGTCAAACTCCATCTTGTCACAAGTGATACACATAATCCTGAAATGTGAAAGCCCTAGAACCAAACGTTCAAATGTTATGGCCAAGGTTAATTTTTTTAAAAGTAGGTCAAAAACTCCAAGGTCAAGGTCAATGCCAAAATTGTTGGTGTCCAAAGGAAGGTCTTGTCACAAGGAATATACAAGTGAAGTATGAAAACCCCAACACCAACTGTTCAAAAATTATGGCCAAGATTAAAGTTTTTTCAACAGTAGGTAAAACGTCATGGTCAAAGGGTCAAAGTTGTTGTTGTCCAAAGAAAGATCTTGTCACAAGGAATACACATGTGAAGTATGAAAATCCTAGCACTAACTGTTCAAAAGTTATGGCCAAGGTTAGGTTTTTCAAAATTTAGTAGGTCAAACGCCAAGGTCAAAGGGTCAAAGGAGTAGCGTTTTGATAAGAAAATTTACAGACGGACAGACAGACAGGCAGCTAGACAGACGGACGGATTACGGACACCTTACTATCGCATAAGCTCTTCTGGTTTCTGACCAGTAGAGCTAAAAATAACTACGTTCAACAGCCAGTATTATTCTCATAAGGCCACTTTTTTTATTAATTGTTTTTTAAGACCAACTGACCAAAGTTTTCGAGAATTTGAAAAAAAAAAGTTAAAATTTTTTTAAAAAATTTCAATAACCACAAAAAATAAAAAATTCTTTCTTTTTTTCCTAAAATTAAATCTTTAACAATTTTTGATATATTGTTTAAATGGATGTTAAAGAACTTGGCTACCAAAATATACCATTAACTGGTAAGCAAATTTTTAATTTTTAGGGGAGAGGAGGTGGGGGTTTAAAAATAATTTGTTTTTAATTTTATTTTTATACCAACCTAACAACCCAATATTACGGAAAAAAAGTATTGAAAAACATTTAATAAAAAAAGTGGCCCAAATAATCAAAAATCAATATCCAAGTGAAATGAATTTTTCTGATGTGTAGAAATGATTTGCAAAATTAAAAAGTTCTAGCTATCTCGAAAACTGTAGGAGGAGTTAGCCTGCCTTCCATTTTAATAACCAGATTTTTCCTCCAGAAAACTCAGTTAAAAATGACACTTTCTGTGAATTAAAAACCTAATATATGATAAATAAATCTAAAAGTCAATTTGCTGTATTGATAACTGCCAACCAATGATTTTGATTAAAATCTTGTGATGAAAGATGTTATACATCTTTAAAAAGATTCTGGTCAAAAAAGTAACCAGTCAATTTTATGGGCTTTTTATAATTACCTAAGATGTTATTCTTATTACCTCCAAGAAAGAAAACATTGTTTTAACCAAGAAAATGTTGAGTAGGTACCTTCCTTAATTGTTCTCAACAAAGAAAATCATAATCTTACAACAGTCACCTGTACTTTTCAAGTCTACAAATACAGAAGAAAACATGAACTTGACAGTTTTTATTCAATTTAAATGGATAAAAACTTGCACATTCTTCATGACTATTCATTCACTCTTATTTTTCTCTTCCCTCTCCCCCCCCCCCCCTTCCCCCTTTCCCAACACACACACTCTCTCCATATAAAAATGGTAAAAATATATCAATGTTTATAAATAAATATCACAGTGAATAAAGGACTATTGTTTTCATTCAATCTGAGTCTGAGTCTTGTGTGCCAAAACGAGTGGCCTCAAACAGGTCTAACTGCTTCAGTTGTTCCTCAGGTGTTTCCTCAATTAGATCTCCCTCTGAGTGGCTCCTCATAAAGGCTTGGTCTTCCTTCCTCTTTTTCAAACCTTTTCCCCTGGAAATCTCTTCTTTCTATGGAACAAAATTCAACACCAAAAAAAGTGAGGAAAGATTACATGTAACTATGATCATTACATTGCATTGATCCCTCCTTCCCACACACACAAAAAAATTGCATATGAAAAATAAATGAATAGTGTAAACAAACAGATCCTTACCATTTTTCTCTCCTCCCGGTGCTTTTGAAGAAGCTGTATGTCCTGTTCTCGAGCTTGTGCATACTTCTGAATGATTCTGTATTCCTCCAACCTCTCCATTGTTTTAGCTTTGACCATGAAGTCATTCAGAACTGAAAAAGAATATCATTAATCAAGCAGTTATCAATTACAAATTATTCAATTTTACATCTTTAACAATCAAATGAATATGAAATGTTAAGCACACCGACTTTCCAGTTTCAACAGCAGCCTGTGTCCTTGCAGCTACACTTTCCTTGACAGCTGTACATATATAGTTTTTTTTCTTGAAAACAATTTCAATATTGTTTTATTTAATGCTTGTAACTTCAACTTAAATTATTTCTTTATATTACTTTTGCCCCCCCCCCCCCTCCTCCTTGCCACTTGGACACATTTGAGAGTTTATGCTAATCAAGAGGCTCATATGAATACTGCGTATAAGAAACAATGTGACCTGAATCATGTAGATCCAAGAGGGCATCAATTAAATTAATGGTATAATATATACCATCATGCATACAGTTTGTCTGCTAAATGTTAATAGTCAGGAAGATTGAACACTGCTTATAAATTTTCATTTTAATAACTTAATGTTTTACCCCATTTGCCCCTAATTGAGCAACAGAGCAATTTGGAAAAGTTATAATAAAAAAGATAATGCTGTCTTTTTGCAGTTAGAAATAGTCTGAATGTGGTTTGTATCTCAAATTATCATAAATTATTTTTTCCTTACCATCTCCTTTTTTGCAAGACAAATAAAAAATACATTATGATGTGTTCCTTTACTGTAGTTACTTAATGTAACATATCATTCACTGTGGTGAGAAAAGACGGGTAAGGTAATGATTGAAAGTTGGACATTAAAGGGGCATGTGTTAGTAAATTCTATAGAATATCTTGTCATACATTTAGGTCAATATATGTTTATACACAGCTATATTATCACTTAAATTAATAAATATCCTGAATTTCCTTTCCCATGTAATACCTTTGTACACAATTACATGTAATACCTTTGTACACAATTACATGTGATACCTTTGTACAATTACATGTTATACCTTTGTATGCAATGACATGTATTACCTTTGTACACAATTACACGTATTACCTTTATCATCTGTTTTTGGAACACCTGTCATTACCATGCCTAAAATGAAAAAAAAAGATCATATGAACACTATACTCTATATGATTACTATAAAATACCATCACCTGTGACATATGAATAGATATGTACTAAAACCAGAAGTCTCTGACGAGACTATAGCTCTACTGGTTTGTACTTATAACATTTCAGGAAGATATAAGTAGCACTTGGACTTGAAACTTTGCAACAGCAATAAATAGAATAAAGATCCTTGGTTAAGTCTCTTTTTGTGGCAAGATTTATTGCAATCAGACTAAAACTGTAGGAAGAGTAGCCTTAATTTTGCAAAAATTTCATTTTAGTAACCATCGGAACACCATTCATGGAAATTCAAAAAATGATGTATAGAATTAAGTATCGCAGTGTATCTACTTGTGTGCCAAGTTACATTGAAATCAGACCAAAACTGTAAGAGGAGAAGAGTTTTGAAAGTATTTCCCAGAAATTTCTATTTTTTGTAACCATGGCAACACTGTTCATTGAAATCAAAAACCGATATACAGAATTATGTATCTTAGTGTAGTCTACTATATACCAAGTTATAATGAAATCAGACCAAAACTGTAGGAGGAGTAGCATTTTGAAAAATTGTTTACAGACGGACAGACAGCTAGACAGACCGACAGACAGATGGACGACATACAATTTACTATTGCATAAGCTCTTCTGGTCTCTGACCAGTAGAGCTAAAAATTAACAAAGTCCTACAGGGCCTATGCCTTTTAAGGATACAAAAAGATGCTTGTATACATGTATATGATCCAAAATACATGTATCACAATAATATCATGATATTTTTACAAACAACTTTTACTAAGATTTTAAATGAATTTCCATAATTTTTCTTTGAAATATTCTAAAAAATCATAACTTCACTTTTTCTAGAGGGGGGTTGGGGTTGACCTGCTCCCTTCCCCCCCCCCCCCCCCCAATATGCTTAGTTATTAAATGTATATACTGAAGGAAATAAAAAATGGCTTTGGACCCCACTCCACCCCTAGAAAATGTGGACCCCCACCATCACTACCATGAAATAGGTGTTTTTACAATTGGGAATGGACTTAGCAGTTCTTTTCTTCTTTCTTTTTTTTTTTGGCTTGTCAAGATATTTCTTGGTTGGAATTTTTTTTATGCGATGGACCCCCCTGGAAAAAAAAATCCTGGATCTGCACCTGTTTCTTTGTTTGTATTTGTTAAGAATAAAGCCCCAGCATGCTTGCCAGTGGATGCTAGAATGCCATTGTTTGACTGTTTTACAACATTTTTTACACTTCAATTCAAAAGTTCAAACAAGTAAATGAATTATTTCTCGATTTTATAATTATGTACCAAATATCGTTATTTTATTTTCTGTATCATGATATGTCTCACGCAATAAAATACCAGTATCATGATATACAGATAAAACCGCACCCCCTACTATATACATATAATTTGTTTTCAGAAATTTATATGAAATTACTGATACCATACATCTCATCAACAGGTACAATTCATCACAATGTTCACTGATCGGAAGTTAAACTCCACAAAGCAACAAGTCAAAGAAAGACAACTCAAGGATAATGACAACTCATCAATAATGCTAATTAAAAATGGAAAAATAAAATCTTCAAACAGATTTTTGATTCTTTTGTGTTTTGTTCTTTATCAATTCCACTGGATATATGGCCAAGGGAAGAAGGAATTGTGTATTTTATTTTATGTAACTATTTATAGAACTGAATGGTTGAAAAGTACTCTTGTTCATGGCAAAGAGGTTGACCAAGCCTGCAGAAAAGTTATTAAAAAAAAACAAAAAATATTTACTATACCATCTTATGTACTCTTTTAAATACTGTAGATTCCTTATTTAGCACGAGTACTTAATATCGTGAAATGACTCTTAGACGTCAAATCACGAGTGGCCAGTTAATCAGTAGATTTTACATGGATTTCAGCATCATAAAAATAAAAGTGAGTTATTTTATTTCGCGAGTGGAGCTTCTCGCAAAATTATGCGATAATAAATTCCTCACATATATTTAGGAGTCTACAGTAGATAGAGTTGAACAAGGAAGCTGATTAAAATTCTTTGAGATTTTGGCAAAACATTTTCTCTCTCTATGTTTTAATATAACAAGAGGCCCAAGGGCCTTAACGGTCACCTGAGTATAATACAACAATTTAGAGAATCCATAGAGTATTAAATGAACTGAAAAGTGAAGCTTTGTTGCCCAAAAGCAAGAAAAATAGGGTGATCAGGTTCAACAAAATAATTAGTCTAGTGTTCATTAACAGTTCATAAATTTGGCTCTAATCTGTTCCCCATTTATCACTATCACCATACAGCATATTAACAAACTATCAATGCTTCTGTACTATTTTAATTCCTTGTTGAAATCTCTTACATTGGACTCTCTTAGTCTTTGATGAACATTGAATAAGAAGTTATTTTTGTCTCATTTTTATTTATCTATTACTTACAAGTCTACCTGATCATTAAAACTATGAAAGAACTTTTTGTATTATACAATAAAAAATCTTGCAAAATTCTCTTATTCTATTAACCTTTCAAGTACATTATTTACAGTGACTAATTATCAAAAGTAAATGGCAAAGGGGAATAACTCCCCTCAGTAGAATACAAATTAATAGAGCCCTGGCCAGGACCAGAACACTTGACAAAATGGCCCAGATGTTCAAAAATATTTATTAAAACTTTTACTCTTTTTGCCTCTGATATGCCCAGGTGCAGAGAAGATTTTCAAAGAAATAATGCAGTTTTTACTACAGATTCACTACATTATCAATAGAGCCCCCCAGCCCCCCCCCCCCCCACCTCCAATCCCCACCGAGAAACACCAGAGTCTCTCACCCTGGGACCAGAAGTTTATTCATCATACATGTAAGTAATCACTTTGTTTATCTGATTAACACTAAGGAGCAGACAGGATTATTTAACAGAATTAATGCATTTTCACTACATTATCAAGAGCCCCACCCTTACACCAGCACATCTGACCCAGGGGTCATGCAATTCACTACTCTGGAAGAAGTAATCATGCTCATCATAACTATACACTTAGCTTCTTTGCTTTTTAACCAGAAGCAGAAAAGAATATTTTCAGAGAAATTTTGCTTTTTCACTATATAATCAATAGAGCCCCCCCCCCCTTTTCACCAGAACCCTTGACACTGGGGCCATGAAATTCACAATTTTGGAAGGGGCATACTTGCGTATCATAACAATGTACTAATAGTTTGTTTAAATAATACCCAGGCGCAGAGAAGAAGATTTTTAAAGAAATAATTCACCTTCACTATAGGATATATATGGCCCCGCCCTAGCACCAGAACCCCTGTACCTGGGGCCATGAATTTCATAATTTTGGAAGAAGCATCCTTGCTTATCATAACAATGTACTTAATTTGTTTAAATAATACCCAGGAGTAGAGAAGATTTTTAAAGCATTAATGCATTTTCACTATATAATAAATAGAGCCCCACCCTAACACCAGAACCCCTGATCCAGGGTCCATGAAATTCACTATTTTGGAAGAGGCATCCTTGCTTATCATAACTATGTATTTAATTTGTTTAAATAATACCCAGGAGTAGAGAAGATTTTTAAAGCATTAATGCATTTTCACTATATGATTTATATAGCCCAGCCCTAGCACCAGAACTCTTGACCCTGGGGCCATGAATTTCACAATTTTGGTAGAGTTACCCTTGCTTATCATAACTATGTATTCAATTTGTTTCAATAATACCCAGGAGTAGAGAAGAAGATTTTCAAAGAAATAATGCACTTTCACTATATGATTTATATAGCCCCGCCCTAACACCAGAACCCCTACCCCTGGGGCTATGAATTTCACAATTTTGGTAGAGTCACTCTTGCTTATCATAACTATGTATTCAATTTGTTTAAATGATACCCAGGAGTAGAGAAGAAGATTTTCAAAGAAATAATGCACTTTCACTATATGACCTATATAGCCCCGCCCTAGCACCAGAACCCCTGACCCTGGGGCCATGAATTTCACAATTTTGGTAGAGTCACTCTTGCTTATCATAACTATGTATTCAATTTGTTTCATTAATACCCAGGAGTAGAGAAGAAGATTTTCAAAGAAATAATGCACTTTCACTATATGATTTATATAGCCCCGCCCTAACACCAGAACCCCTGACCCTGGGGCCATGAATTTCACAATTTTGGTAGAGTCACTCCTGCTTATCATAAATATGTATTCAATTTTGTTCAATAATACCCAGGGGTAGAGAAGAAGATTTTCAAAGAAATAATGCATTTTCACTATATGATCTATATAGCCCCACTCTAGCACCAGAACCCCTGACCCTGGGGCCATGAATTTCACAATTTTGGTAGAGGGCTCAATGCTTATTACAATCATGTCAACAGTTTGACTGCTTGATGTCCAGGAGTAAAGAAGAAGATTTTTAAAGATTGCATTAATTTTGGTGGTTTTAGCCCCACCCCTCAGGCCCCAGGGGGGCAGGGACCATGAAATTCACAATTTTTGTCCCCCTTCACCCATAGATGCTATATGCCAAAATTGGCTGAAATTGGTTGAGCGGTTTCAGAGAAGAAGCTGAAAATGTTTAAATGTTAACGCACGACACACGTCGCACGACGACGGACAAAAACGGATGGCAATAGGTCACCTGAGTGACTCAGGTGACCTAAAAACAGAAACAGATGTCTGATGACTACTTTTATATTTCTTTCAATAAGTTTGGATGAGTGTCAATAAATTTTCATTCTAATACATCATGTCGATGAAAATTCAAGTTTCAGTGAGTTTTCTTTTGATGAGTTGCAATAGATCCCTAAATCATATATGCTTTTTAAAAAAGATTAACTTGCCATGTAAATAAAAACTAACTTTTAGAAAAGTAAAAGTAAAAAAGTAGACATGACAAATATAATGTAAAACATAATCTAAAAGTGATTCGAGACTAAAAATTTTGTACTGACGTCTCTTCCGAAAGACGTCAGTACAAAATTTTTAGTCTCGACGAGTCTCGCTGAGATTATATAAAACCTTGTACAATATACACATTATTGCACATAACATTATACTGACTGTGAGTTCCTGAAGGCGCTACTCTAAGCCTTTGTTTTATGTCGGAAGAAACAAGACGGGATTCCATCGGCGGCTGGAGTTGTACTGACTGCCAGAACGTCTTGGCATAAGCCATATCCTCTGGAGAAGATCCACTGAATTCAGTGAAATGGCCCGTTTTCGTTAAATCTATAGCTGTAGGTGCTGCCATCGTTGCTACCCAAGCGTTCCTGATAGTCCAGACGCTTATAACATTAAGGAAAAATATTATTTTTCAAAATGAAGAAAATAATTGAATATCAATGGGCACATAAATATATAGTTTTGGAGAAAATGATAAACTTATCCCTTAAAGCAATTTAAAATCTATTTAGCTCGATAATATTTGCCACATGTTTTCAATGATGTAGGAAATAATAAAAATCGAATTGAGGAAGAATTCATTTCCGGAATACTCAACGTTTCCGTGTTATGCATACTTTGTCATTATATCAATCAGATTGTCATTACATTCCAACCTCTTAAAACTCTCTTAGGTTGATTTTATTATCACAGCGGTTGTTTATGCTACATAATCTGTGAATTTTATATAAACATAGGCCCGTAACAACGGTTTCAAAGGTGGGGGACCTCCCAAGAAAATCTGACAAGCCAAAAAAAAAAAAAACCCCTTTAACCGTCCAAATCATGGAATTTGCAAGTACTCGTCCTTGCAGCAAGAAAAGTGGGGGGGGGGGGGGTATTTAAATTAAAGTTTACTATAGCAAAACACTATACTCAGAAAAAAGTGCCCCCCCCCCCTTGCTACGGGCCTGAAACAAATTAATTTATATACATGTACTATACATGTATATCCAATGTATCCGACTGAAAATGTTAATTATAAATCAGGAAAAGGAAACTTATCTTGAAGTATAATGGTAATCTGAAGTGTTTCAGACATTTCGAACAACCTTCTGGATATCATGTTTCGTCGACATATTGTTTGAAGCAACTGAATTTAGATATACAGTCTGAAGGTTGTTTGTCACAAGACATCATAAATAAAAGAACAAAAACTTTCTTACTTTATGAAAAATACAATGACCCTAAACTTCGCTGTTTTTGAACCAACCGCAAGTAAAAAAAAATCAGTTAATAAAATACTCAGAATAATACGTAACTTTTATAAATTCAACATTTATGAGAGGTTTTATTCTAATCAAATAGAACATGAAAGAGAAGTTTGACATACTAGTAATCTGTACTTCTCTTATTTAACAAACACCTTTCAAGGAGCAGAATTTTTAAGTAATTTATTACATACACTTACCTATCTATCAGAACATAAATAAATTATACGCAGCTCATTTAATATTATTTATATGTAGTCTTATGTTTACAAAGTTTAATTCAAATCAGAGCAAGAAACCAAGCCTCTTTCTTTACTCCTCACTAAAATATTAACAGCTGGCAGTGAAGGAGAAACTTCAGGAGTGCTGTGCAACAATATACATGTATTCGAGAAGTGGTGTTAATCAGATGTGGATACTTAAAATTCCAAAGAACTTTTGGAAAATCTGAAATCACAAAATTTTACCAAAATCAATAACATAAAAACTTACGACTTTTCAACTCTGTATACAACCATTCCCAACTAATTTAAAGTCCAGGCTTTTTGACATCATTGACAGCTGCTTTTTCAATAGAAATGGAACTCGTAGATTTACTTACCTTGTCATTGGTCATTTGCAAAATCATTTTGTTAAAAACATTCTGATTGTACACACAAGTACTCTGAAGTTGATATTAAAAAGATGCTTGAGTTTCTGATTGACAATATCTATGTGGTTTTTGGAGACCAAGTCTTCCAACAATCTGTTGGAATTCCCATGGGTACCAATTGGGCCCCGTTGTTGGCAGACCTATTGTTGTATTCATATGAAGCAGAATTTATTCAAAATCTTACACATGAGAAAAAGAAATCTCTTGCTGTGGCCTTCAACTCGACATTTAGATATATCGACGACGTATTATCAATTAATAATAGTTATTTTCATTCATATGTCGACTCGATATATCCCAGTGAGCTTGAAATAAAAGACATCACAGAGTCTGACACATTTGTTTCATATTTGGATATTTTACTAGAAAAAGACGCTAATGGTAATCTAACAACAAACCTTTATGATAAAAGTGATGACTTTAACTTTTCAATCTTCAACTTCCCTTATGCAGCGATTTCCCCTTACATGTATGGGGTGTGTATCTCTCAGTTGATTCGATACGCAAGAGCATGCTCTATTTATGAACAATTTCTAAAACGAGGTAAGTTATTGACAAACAAGTTGATGATACAAGAATACCAACAGTCTCATTTAAAGTCATCATTTCGTAAGTTTTATGGTCGATACAATGACCTTGTCAGCAACAAAAATAAAATTTATCATTAAGTCATATGCTGACTGACGTTTTTCAAACTAATTGTTATGACATTATTTACACACTGAATTGTTGACGAATTTTCCGTTATTTCCCGATCATGACGGGTTGACCGGTCGGCAGGGGATGCTCACTCCTCCATGGCACCTGATCCCACCTCTGATATTTTTGGAGGTCTGTGTTTGCTCTGCTCCCGATTTGTATTGTTTTAATGGACTTTGAGCTTGAATATTGTTTGTTATTTCTATACTTCATTCCACAAATCGATTTGGCTTAATAGAAGTCACATATATAGCCTCATAACAAATTATTTCTTCCACGTCACCTCGAGCCTAGCAAAATGAATGCTACTTCTGTTGCAAAATTTATCAAGCCTTATTTCAATAGAATATTTTGTTTTAACTCTTAATGAAACAAGCATTCTGAGAGTATTGCATTAGCAATACTAGTCCCCTACCGGCAAGTGTAATCTGGTTCCAGTTAAGAATTGAAAATGCCATAATTCCGTCAAAAATTAATGAAGCGGGAGGAAATGCAAACTTGATCTATAACTAATCAAGGTAAAGCCATATACCAAAAATCAGCTCAATATCTACAAGCGTTTAGAAGAAAATTGCGGAAAACCCGTAAAAATTGAGAAGGCCGTAATTCCGTCAAAAATCAATGAAGCGGAACGAAATGCAAACTTGATCTGTAACTCATCAAGATACACTCACATACCAAAAATCAGCTCAATATCTGCAAGCGTTTAGGAAAAAAGTGCGGAAAACCAAGTGGGACAGACTGACAGACAGACAGAGGGACAGACAGACAGACAGACAGACGGACAGACAGACAGACAGACGGACGGACAGACTCAGAGGAAACCTATAGTCCCCTCCGGTTTCACCGGTAGGGGACTAATAAGGTTAGGGGGCATTATACATCGGATATCTTATGTTGATTCACCCTTATGTTCCTTGCTTCACGGTTTCTATATTTATGGTAAGTGAGGAAATGGTCTCAATTTCGGAGATATATAAAAGGTTAAGGACAAAATACATGAATATAATGAAGCTGTGTGCAAAGTATTAACAAAGCCCAGGACTTTGATCATCAAGCAGACAAGGAAACATATTGTAGATAACCCCTTGATGAAACTTCAATCACCTATGTAAGTATTAGAGTTCAGGACGCTGACTCTCGTTTTAAATCTGTTCTGTCTTGACAAATTATCAGCCACGATGTCCAATATGCAAAACGTAACAGAATGGAATTTCAGCTTGAGGACGAAACTTGTACCATCTATAATATTTTTAATTTTTTGTTTCATCATTGGCGTGGTAGGAAACTCTATTGTTTTAATTATCTATATGACAAAAGACATTCCTATTAATGGACGTTTCTTTATCCCTGTTCTAGCGTCCGTTGACCTTTTAGCAGTATCCATTTCGTCAGTTTCTGGAACAATCTACATCCTGACAATAGTTATTACCCATTCCGATATTTGGTGCCGGGTAATGAATTTTGGAATTCACTGCTTGATATTTATATCTGTCTTAACCATGTTGGCCATATCATTTGATAGGTACAAGAAAACTTGCAAGATTGGGAAGAAACAGCTAACGATGAAGCAAAAGAAACTGACAATGTTAACCATTGCAGTAGTATCAACTTTCTTAAACATTCCTGTTCTTGCCACTTCCGGTAGCGTTCAAATTCTAAAACACTTTCAAAACTCATCAGTGAATGGATTCATTTGTGAAATTTCCAACACCAGTTTTCCGGTTATCGAAAGCTTATATTCTTCATTCGCTGTAATTATAGTATTTGGGAGCTTTGTCGTTTCTTCTTTTTTTAATATTAGAATTTTATATGTGATTGCCACGAAAGTACAACTTCCACCTAAATCGACAAGAGAATGTCCGGGAGAAAATGAAAGGAACCCGATTAATAATGATTTGGAGGTAAACCCGGATCATGATAACACAGAAGATATATTTGAAGAGAAAAAAACTTACACACCAGGACACGAAGGGGATTCATCTGCTAAAAAAGAAGCAGAGGATATAGTAAATGACCCACAGAATATAGTAAAAGACTCAATTCATTTCATTCCACTAGCAGAAAGGAAAGCCCGCCTAATTGAGTCATTTGCTAAATTAACATCCAAAAGAAGAATTTGTGTAGGAAAACCGAACGTCTGGAGATTACACACACAAAAAATAGTGGAGAAATTTACCCAGAAAACGTCTCTTAGAACCGCTTTAAGGAAATCTCGAAATTCTAGTCACGTGATGTTCCTAACAATTTTTATTCTTTTCATCTTTTCACATGTTCCACCAGTAATAGAAGCGCTGTATACTAGATATGCGAAGTACAATTGGTTGCTCGATCATGACGTCGACGATGGCATGATCAACATGTATTTTTTATTGAGATCTACTTTCCTACTAAGTCATGCATTCAATCCATATATTTATGGACTATTTGATAAAATGTTTAGGCAGTGTCTGAGGAACCGTCTCCAGTTGTGTCAGAATAGAAAAAAATCTACCTTGAACTACGTCATATAACAAGTCAACAGGCCATTCATCTTCACATATTTGGCAACAATACTAATAACTTCACCAGATTTTTTTTACTTATTACAAAGACTACGTGCACGGATCATTTCTTGATGACTCCATATGCAGGTGATACTGGTATATACTGTGTATACTGATATACTAAGTATTGTTGTGAATCAAACGAAGTATTTTTATGAATTAACACACTTTTTTGGAATATGATCTAATTTTGAATATACCATCACCAAATGTGTAAAACCTTCATAGTATGATGTATTTTATGACGTTTTATATAAGTAAACATCATGATTGTATAATGTAAGTAGACGGGAGCTTGTAAGTTTATCATACATCGCGTTTATATTTTTTTATTTAATCGAAACACTCGGATAACATATCATCATCAAAGGTTTATTAAAACATATTTAAAAGAATTCTTATCAGCTTGAAGAACACATGTAATAATATATTTTGAAGCTATTATTCATTGCCCATTTGTTCATGAGATGTTTCCTAGTATTAATGGAGTACGAAGATAACGAACAGTAAGATCATACAAACTTGAAGCAGAGCAAACACACGGACCTTTAAAACCATTAGAGGTGAGGTCCTGTGCCATGGAGGATCTGGAGGAGTAAGCATCCCCTGTCGACCAGTCAAACCCGCCGTGTGCTCCTTGTCATGATCGGGCAAACGGAAAAATCCGTAGACAATTCTGTGCGAAAATACTCAGTAATGGCCTAAAAATTTGTATGAAAATATCAGTCAACATGGACTGTATTTGCTGACAAGGTTATTGTATCGACTATAGAATTTGCGAACTATTGCCTTTAAACGAGACTGCTGATATTCTTGTTTCATCAACTTATTTGTCAATAGCTTGCCTCTTTTTAGAAAATTTTCATACGTAGAAAATGCTCTTGAGTATCGAATCAACTGGAGACATAAACTCCATATGCAGGTGATACTGGTATATTGGTACATAAATAAGGGGACGTTGACAATAGAAAAGTTGAAGTCATTACGTTAATCATAACGTTTCGTTGTAAGGTAACCATAAAAGTCCTTTTCTTGTAAAATATACAGATATGAAACAGATGTGCCAGACTGTGTGGTATCTTTTATTTCGAGTTCAAGGGGATATATGGAATCAACGTAGGAAAAAAAATGAATATTGTTAATTGATAAAACGTTGTCGATATATCTAAATGTTTAATTAAAGGCAACAGCAACAGACTTCTAGTTTTTGAATAAATGATTACAAAAATAGATCTGTTAATAACAGGGTGCAATACCTATGGGAATTCCGACAGATTGTTGGAAGACTTTCAAGACCTCTATGAACTACATAGATATTGTCAACCAGAAAATCAAACATTTTTAAAAATCAACTTCGGAGTACTTGTGTGTACAATCAGAATGTTTTCGTAACAAAAATATTTTGCAAATGACCAATGACAAGATGTACTAAGTAATTTTACGAGTTCCATTTTTATTAAAAAAGCAGCTGTCCATGATATCAAAAAGCCTGACCTTAAATTAATCTTGGGGAATGGTTGTATAAAGTGTTGAAAAGTAATTAATGAAGCATTGTCCTCAATTTTACGGACCCAACTCGCAATTTAATAAGTTTTTCCTTGCCTATACGGACACTGCATTTCTACGAATTTCATTAGCATCTATGTATTATTTTGCACACAAAACACTGAGACAAAAATTAATAGTTTTATAACCTCTTTCCTACTATGTCGGTGGAAATTTTATGACGAGGACACACGTGAACAACTTGCTCACCGTTCAATACGGTACCCTTGGATTTAGACGCACTGATTTTGGCATGGGACTCATTGTTGTCGTAAGAGGGGTCCTTTGGACCCATGAAAACCATTTTTTAAAATGAATCACTGCCGTTGATTTTTGTTGTCGTTGATACTAGACTACTTATAAACTTTGTCACGAAGAATTCATGGTAATTTGTGTTTAAGATAAATTGTCTTGTTTGAGATCCAACAAGAAATTAAGAAGCATGCAAACCCAGTTTTTCTTTAACATGCAGTCTCCATTTCAGAAAGGACTAAGAGTTACTAAATATACATTCCAATTGACAATTTAAAACATCGAGCATATTGTATCTACTAGGATTCCATATTCAGAAATCTATATTTTTGCAAAACAGTCAAAATCAGATGAAGAATAGGCTAGTTTGTAGTACAGGAACATTAAATATGAATGCTAGCAATCAATCTACTTAAAATTCAGCTCATTAAATCTCCTATTTAAAGTGCTCTATTTAAACTTGTCTTTTCCAATGAAACGAAAGTAGACGGGTTTTCCAAACCTCTCTGATACTGATTCCTGTCTATCAAGGTAACTACTGGTATATACTAGATAATTATTATAATACAGATCAAAGTGAGTCACTTCTCTTTAATAATTTATTATTATCTGTCAGTTCGCGATAGACGAGTTTTATGAGATATAATTTCATTGAATGTACGCTACTACGATGATGTCCTAGGGATCTAATTTGAATTTTGCTCTCAGAAGCACAGTTCTGTTAATGACTTACGATGATGATATTTTTAACTGTCAAAAATTAAGACTTAAACCGTTGTATACATGTTGCATTAAAAACGTCTTCTATGATCAAGGGATGAGGCTAATGCCACGTCCTTTTAATGTTCAGCAACTTGTTAAAGCCCAAACTATACTAGAAATTGTACTAATGAATGAATTTGTTTGTTGCTCTATAGGGATTAGAGTTAACTCGGAGTAAAAAATGTTATATAGTATTCAACCCTTGAACTTGGGTTGGACATTCAATTCGTATCGATAGAAGTACGATGTAGCGTAACTTTTGATGCACCGCTTCTAAACTTTCTCGCAAAAACTTAAAGAATGAGAGCCTTAGAATACCGGGGTAATGCATGAATGGCAAACAAACTGTTTAAACCACAAAGATATAAATATTCAATTTTGCTTCTTGATTTTAGGATGGAGCATTTGAAACGTTTTTCTGATGCTGTATATGAAGGAATGTGCTTCATCGCTGGTACACCCAACGAGGTGGCCATCAGACGAGACGTGGAAGACGTCCATGATGTGGTGCTCAAGCCTCTTCAAGAGAGACGGCAAATTCGAACGATAAAGAGTGGAAGTTACAAGGAAGGATTTCGATTCAGGGGATCGGACATTGACCAAATGTTCTGGATGACAAATCATCGTTTGATTTGGAATCTGGAAGAAGCGGGTGATTTTAATAGTTCCAGTGATACATTTATCCTTTTGAATTGGAATCCAGACCGTCTTGGATTTGTTTTTCTGGAACTTCTCTCACCGACATTTGACAGTTACGTTGGTCAATCAATATTCAATATTAATGATAAATTATTCATATCAAGTCTGCTTTATAGAGAAAGTACTTTACAATGGATCAGACCAAACACAACGGTCCATGGACCTTGTGCAAATGAAAAGGATGGAAACGTTGAATGGGACCGCGTGCACTGCTTTATTTGTAAACACTGGCCACCCTTTGCCCTCCCTTTCATAGAGAGAAGTTTAAAAAATGGTTGGCCTCGTGAAGATCATCTGTGTGAAGCACTGGCAACAGGGTGTCAGGTTGTTCCGATCGGACTCAAGGGATCGCCACTGGAAAACTACGAATGGCGCCTCTCGTTTTGTACTGCAGAACAGAAACTCGTTCATTCTTTAAATCACACACAATTTATGTGCTTTGGTTTGCTAAAGTTGTTCATTAAAGAGGTCGTAAATGCAGTTGATGAACAGGACGAACCTTTGCTCTGCTCATTCTTCGTAAAAACAGTCTTGTTCTGGGTGATTCAAAATGATAAAGTTATACAGTGGGTACCCTCAGATCTTCTCAGAGGATTTTGGTGCTGTCTGAAATATTTGTTACACTGTGTCTTTCGTGGATATCTTCCAAATTTCTTTCTTCCTGAAAATAATTTATTTACAACAAAAGTCCGTGGTCAGTCACAACAGAAGCTGTTTGAAAATCTGTATGAGCTATACAAAATGGGTTTTCCTTGTCTCTTTCAGAGTAAGACACTACGGCCTTATTTGTGTCGAGCTATTTCTAATCTGAGTTACATTCCCAGAACAGATGAAGCGGCCTTTGTATCAGAGATAGAGGAAGACAAGCATCTGTTTTATGAAATGGGAACACACGACGCATTCAACACATACTGTTCAGATATTAATGAGAGTGTTGTTCTGTTGTCTGGTATCTGTAACTTGAACCCGTCATCTTTAACACACAATCAGTTTGTTGCTTTAGAGAAATTTACGTCCTCAATTCTCAGATACCTTGCATATCATCTGCATAATATGAAGTTTTTCAGTAACAAAAATAGATACAGAGTGGAACGATTGTGTGAGCAGTTACTAACAGTTGTAGCTAAAATGGGTTGGCTCTCTGACGTCATTTATATACCACTGTACTTGTATGTCATAGGCAAAATAGGAAAAGCTGTCAAACATATAGAATGGGCAAAACTGAAGTTTTGCAAGCCCTTTGTGATGTATCGCAGTGAAGTTGACAGAGAAAGCTATGTCGAGGAATTGTGGGAAATGTCTTTGAGCTATAAAAGAAGATATGCTGCACTGAGAGACATTCGAATAGAGAGAGTTGTTATAAAAGAATTGGAATTAGAAGAAAAGACAACGAAGCGATACTGTTTATACGCTCATCCGAAAGTTATGCTGAATATGCTATACCTGTTGTGTAATCGTGGAAACGAAAACAAGCAACACGAAGCTCTCCATGAAATGTATGACTTCCTGACTAACGATGATTCTCATATCCCTCCAGAACTCGAGGAAATGTCCTGGGAAATGCTCGGAATATGTCAACAACTCTGTGGTGACTTTAGAGGGGCGGTGCAATCATTTCAAATGTCTCTTGACAGTGAGCTCCTGTTCCATGGCTTTGAAAATGCAACGATGGCAAGAATAAAAAAGATCCAGAAAGAGTTGTCCGAGTAATTAAACATTAACACTGCATGTCAACCAGTATGCAAAAAAAACATACATGCATTTTCCTTGATTCGCTCCTCACATTCGCGAATACCAGATACTTTCCATTAGATAGAAAGCTCGGGTGAATATCACTGCTTCAAAATGTTTTGTTCTATTGATTGTATTATAGTTATCAACAGTATTATAGTTGTAAGTTTGTCTCTAAACATACACTAAACAAAATTGCTTGTGCTAACGCTCCACTCGGTAATATTTTTTTTACCTAATCGGAACATGCCAACTTGCACAAAGTCGAATGTGCCAATATCTTGGTGTCAAAATAAGACGCTCAAAGAGCCAACCATTTCCCGATGTTTATTGCGCATCATTTTTGCATTAATACGAAATTAGTGTTTTTCGATGGTGGTCATAGCTGCAGATTTGTAGCTCGCTGGTCTGAAAAAAAAAGGGACTTGTATATGTAGTTTTATTGTGGAAGTATAGTAAAAGATATGTAAGGAACACATTGAGGTTTTGTAATATTTTGAAATATACGAAGAAAAATTTGAGAAACAGTGCACTTTTTGTGCGAAATAAATATACACATTTTTCATTAGGTGGCTCTGTAGCTCTCTTCTTGTCCGTCCCATTTTTTTCCAGACCAGCGAGCTACAGATCTGCAGTTATATGGTGGTAAGTGAAGTCACTTCAGTGGCGGTCTCCCTGTTTCTTAAATGATAAAAAGCATTATGTCTATCATAACGCCTAGTAGTCACCCAGGTCCTTAGTAAATGTTAAACTGTCGCTTTTTTAAAGAGTTTTAGCTCACCTGAGCCGAAGGCTCAAGTGATTTTCAACCAAACTTGGGTTAAGAGGATTCGAATTTGTTCAAATGAGGGGCCACATCCTCCTCCAAAAAAAGATAATTACAAAATAGTAAAAATTGGGTGGGGTCATTTATAAAAGTCTAGATCTTCTTCTCAAGAACCACTGGACCAGAATAAATGAAAATTATGGATAAATGATGAGAAACAGAAATTCAACTGAAAGAGAAGTACACGTTCAACTATCATAAAATGCATTTACATGTATGTACATTTATGTAGTCTTTAACCTTTTGATCCTCAGATTTTATCATATTCTTCTGAGCTCTGTAATCATTTGCTTTATTTACAGACTCGAAGCATCGTTTTTGAAAATGTGTGTTTGGCTGGGAGGGGGAGGGAATCGACAATTGACAGCTTACCTGGAAAATATTTGACAAGTAAAATAATTGATAAGAGGAAAATTGTCCAAACTCGAAAATTTTATTTCGGGGATGTGTGTGTGTGTGTGTTGGGGGAGGGGGGGGGGGTTAGAGGTAGGTTTAATTTTTTTCGATAAGTATATATAAAGATGGGAGGTATTCCTACGAAATCAACAGTAAAAGATTATGTTCAGAAAAAAAAGGGGACAGCTCTTTTATACACGGTTACAGCGAATACACTCACATAATGAATTTGCGTTTTTAGCGAAGTAATTTTCATTCCTGTGGGTTTGAAACTTATTATGGACTTGTCGCAATGTACGTTACCAATGAATCAAATTGTTCGTCCTTTTATTGATCTTTCATTTTATGATACATGCAATATATAGCCATTAGTGATACTTATTTTTCATTATCTATTTTTATTGTTATTTCGCATTTAACCTGTGATTTCATCATTACGCCTGCAGATAAAATAGTTAAAAAATTCTGTGAAGATATTCCGAGCATTCTGCATTAATTTTAATGCATTTAAAATAAATTTGCAATGTTTTCCCCCCAAACGGCTTTCTTGAAGAGGTGGGCCATACATAAGTTTTTCCTCTGCTGAGCGTCCATTTATCATTTAAGAACCTAGCTTCCTATTCACAAAAAACAAACAAACAAACAAAACACACACACACAAAAGCCGAAAAAATAAAACATACACTTTATACTAATGGTCATAAAAATTACAGCATTCAAAGGACTTGATTTCATTATTCTAATTTTGTATTCCTTTGAAAAATCAAAGAAGTAGATCTAATTGCTAAGAATATTCCTAATTTTAATTAGGACTTCTAGACGAAAGAAATTGACAGAATTCAAAAGGCTATAACTAAAAAATCATTTTTCGGACTATATTAATTTTGTGGGTTTGTTTAAGGTCTTCCGTTTCCAACGGAAGACCTTCTACTGATTGTGACGATTAAGATTATTCTTTTTTTTTTCCTAGACGCCAACTTTGACGCTTCATATCTTCCTCATTAAGGTCTTTCGCTCCAGGCGGAAGACCTTCTACTGATTCTGATGGTTAAGATTATTAAGGTCTTCCGTTTCCAACGGAAGACCTTCTACTGATTCTGATGGTTAAGATTATTAAGGTCTTCCGTTTCCAACGGAAGACCTTCTACTGATTGTGATGATTAAGATTATTCTTTTTTTTTTTTTTTCCTAGACGCCAACTTTGACGCTTCATATCTTCCTCATTTTTAAACAGATTTTGTTCAAATTTTCAGAGCTTTTAGACTTTACAAAACACTGTCAGAATACCGTAATACAATTCGGAAATTACCTTCTGTTCACGAGTTATTCCCCTTTGATTGAATTTTGCATGCCTCCCATTTCCAGACAAAGGCTCAGAAATGGTTATAATTGGAGCACAAAACCCTTTGAAATTGAAAAGAGGAAGCATTGAAGTTGTGCACATCGGTTTTTGTTTTTTGATTTTTGCATTAAAAATGGCGCTAGAGAGGGGTCAAAAGTTAGAACGCGGAAAACAGCAAAAAATTTGACATATTTTCCTTTATATCTTGAAAACTAGAAATATTTTGTTAAGACATGTAGAACAAAAGTTGCGCATAATTGCAAGGGCTTTCATATTATACTATTTAAAAGGGGCTGGCCCCTATGATTAGGGATCTTGGGCCCTTAAAAGTTTTTGCTTTATAACTCAAAAACGGTAAATATTTCGATCTGGATCTTGGGAACAAAATTGTTCTTTTACACCTTTTTGATCTAATGAAAATGTTGTTTTGTTCGAGTATACCATGGGTATTGCGTAATACGTATTAGAAAGCAGGCCAGGTAAACAGGTAACGTTTTTCATTCGGCAAGGAAATTAGACCTCTTCATGTGTATAACTTAAACAGACTTGCTATCAATAATATACCCTGCGGTATTTAATGTTAATTTTCTTTTTAATAAGGTTTAAAACGTGGTTTATGGTTCACTATTAAATTATTTATTACAACTAGTCTTTCTTTTCTTCTTTTTTAAATTAGGTTAATAGTGTTCAAAAGCGGAGAATATTAAATCTATCTTTCTACGTTTATTATTACAACAAACTTTGTAAGTGATTTTAAACTGTATGCATTGAATAATTCACGATCATTAGCTGTATGCATATTACGGTCTCCATGTTCAGCTCGATGTTTAGTTATGTAACCCAACGCGCGAATCCCACGCTGTTGATCGAGGTCACCAGTGTACTAGCCACCTGTGACCATAAACAAAGCTAGTATTTGTGATCGCGTATAATGTCAATTTTGTACAAAGAGCTATTAATTAATGGAAAGTTATGTTTTTAATTATATCGAATCAGTAAGATTACTTTACCGATCTTTTATAATCTTAATTCCAAACACTGGTGCATAAAAATCATTTTGAATTTTAATCGCTGTTTTTGTCTGTTCACGCAACAATACATTTAAAAAAAGTATTGCTCTATCCCGTGTTGTTGTATTTTAATTCATCTGCAATTGTAATTGAATGGGGGCTTCGGTAAATAATTGTAATTACTACGCATGCTACGCACATATTATTTTTACCACCACTCTTGTGAATGTCCATTTATTATTTATAGAATTAAATAAACATTAACATAAATAAAAATTCCTTCAAATATACATGTACTATAATTCAAGTCTTTGTAATATAGCAAACAGTTTCATCCGTCTCTGCCGCTTTGTGTCTTTAAGTGTTGTAGTCCAGTCCTCGTTTACATACACGTGGCCACAGAGAGCCGCGGGCACCTCGATGTTGAAATACATTGTTGCTCTACACCGCACAAACAACTAGCATGTACATGCAGTGTAGTAATTGGCAAAGATTGTTTGAAAAATATAAACTCGCATGTGTTCGCTACGAAGCATTCATTTTAAAATTTTATTTACATGTAGATACCTTATAAGAACAAAATAAAGTAAATGTATAACGCCTAGAACAATGTTTAAAAATTAAAATACAAATATCGTGTGCTCGGAAGGGAAGATGGCTTGAAAGGGTGTGTCTGTGAATGCTTAGATCTAGCAAAACACTTCGCAAAGTTAAGCATACTTGTGTCCAAATCCTTTAAAAGTGGGGGCAATCCCTAATCCTCGCACCCTTTCTTTTTGAATCTAAAAATATATACCATACTGAGAGTTGTATATAGAGCGGGAATGTTATTTTATTAGTCCTTAAAGGCACAACTTAAGAAATGACTTATAATTTTTTTTTTAGATAAGATTGTTTCGTGATACAGCTGTGATAAATCTTAGGAACTTCTAAAGTTATAACTTAGGCATATCTTAAGATAACTTAGGAAACGTTTTTGAAACAGGCATGTCAAGCATTCAGTCAGATCTATTACGACGTCCATATTACCATATAAGAGAATGAAATTTTGTTTTGTATATAAAGTGGTTATTACAAATATGCGTGTTACAAAAATGTATGTTGAAATCTTCAAAAGCTATCGAATTATTTGCATACGTGTACTCGTACATATGAACATTGATCAACACTGATCAAGTGTATACCGGCACCCGGGATAGTCTTATTATAGCTCTTGCTTTGTCAAATCATTACTTTCATACCCCTTGCATTTAAGAAAAACAATGTTATAAAAAAAATAATAATCTGACATATAACAAGTATACATGTAGCGTGTGCAATTTATTTGGCTAGGGGCATGTACACACGTGGTTCGAAACTGTAGGGGGCTACAAATGCGGCCATAACTAGTATATTTTTGAGGTGT